TTAATTAAAATAAATTTACAACATAATACAAGTTGGCATTAAATTGTGATCATGTGGTCAAAAGATAGATAGGCATAATACTAGCTCTGGGGCTGTAGGACTGGCTTCCACAAGTGCCGCCCCATCCCTGAAATACAGGTTTGAGACCTTGCCATCCCTCACTATAGCCCAAGCAGACTTTCTGCCCCGCCCTGCCCCACTGCGCGTATTGTGCAGGAGGAAGCCCTGGCCTTAGGGTCCCTCAGGGCTGCGCTGCCACCTCCAGCCTCTGACGTCCTGTGCCAGGTGCACAGCCAGCGTGCATAGGCGCGCAGGTTTTGAAGCCACGCAGCATACCCGGTAGCCAAGAGCAGGCTGGGAGCCCGACCTGCAGGTCCCAGATCCTGCTGTCCTGGTCGCTGGAGTGCCAGTGACTCTGGCTTCAGCTGGTGTCTGCAAGCTCACGTCACCTGTTTGACAGCCTCCCACCAAATCAGAGGACAGCGCTCACCAGGAGCCCCCAGCGTCACAGGCTCCTGCAGATTAGAACTCGCTTCTCATAGTTCCTCCCTTCATTCCATTTAAAGCTCCCACTGGCTTTAAGAAAAAGTTAAGTGTGAGCTCAGTTTCTTCAGCGCTTTCTTACACTGCAAGATGATAAGTGAGGAACCGGCCTTTGCTAGTCCTCTGGCAAAACCTGGGGCTCTGAAAGCTAATAAACTTTGCACTGAGAATTTATTCCATTTTTGGAGCAAGCTTTCTTTGCTATCTACCAATTAAAATAGATCCTCTCCTGTCTCCTTTTTATTATCATCTGTCTTCTCTCTCTTCCTCCCTTCCTTTTCCACTGCCTTTCTCCCTGTTATTTTTATTCTTCATATTTCCCCCAAATTTCACCTATTCACCTGCACTTACTATTCATTCTTCCTCTTCTTCCAGATTATGCACATATTTGCAAACACTTGGAGTTGAACTACCATAAGAGTATTTGAGGTTTGTTTTCTTCTCAGGTGTCAATTACCTAATAGTTTAACTCGGATTCCAATAATAACCTCAAGGAAGGAGTCTGCAAACATGCTTTTAAAATGAAAACAAGAAAAATAGCTCTTGATAAACTTTTGGCTTAACTTCTTTGAAAGGTCTGCACTCCCCAAGCTGCACTTGCTTCTGAACTGTTTTTTTTTTTTTCTTTTCCAAGACTTAACTCACTGGGAACATTAACAAAGTGTGACTTAATTGACTCATTTTCACTTCTTCTGTTTATGTTATGACCAAGAAATTGCTCAAGCCAACCAAAGATTCATAGCAGTCAAACGGAGTTTATCTAAACCTAGGCTCTGCTGGAATAAATGGCTTTTACCTGATTAAACATTGACAAATAATTAGGAATGGACTGTTGTACAAATTAACCTAGGAAGGCTGCATACTTGTCCTTGTTTGGAGATTTGGAAAGAGTATATGTTTGAGGTTTGAGAAGTGGCAGGCAGGAATGTACTCCCTGGATCAGAACACAGGGAGAACACATGCCAGGCAGTTAGTGGTGGCAGGATAACTTTGCAAGGACATTGAGCCCTAGTGATGGAGATATCTAGAGCTTGCAGTCTTTGCTTATTTCTTTCAGCTTTTAGATGTTTACTTGGAGTGATGTTACGCTCCTCTGACTGGAGCTGGGGCAAAGTTTATTTAATTACCTACAAGGAACAAAGTTTATTTAATTATCTATAGAACAGAGATAGAGAGAACATATATATACATATGCACTTATGTCTATATATGCATATGTCTATATGTATGTATATTATACAAGTATGCATATGTATGTGCATAACTATATGTATGTCTCTGTATATATATGCATAAGCACATATACACTATATATATATATATATATATATATATATATATATATATATATATATTCATATACATTATACACAGCATGTCTTTGTGTGTATCTCTATTCAGATTCCCATAAGATCCAACAGAATGTTAGTTTGGAGAAGAGGAAGGGAAGCATAAGACAATTATTGATTCAGAAGTTAGTCTATAAGATGCCATATTCTGCTTTTTCATCCTTTTTAATGGGTTCTTTGTCTTCCAAGGTGATTAGAAATAGAAATATAATTACGATAGTTCTGACTGGCTGATTAGGTGAGCTAGGCATTACAAAGGAAAATATAAATATGATTCATCCAATAGTAGTCTATTCTTTGTTCAAGAGACCTGTGGAAATGTTAGGAAAGTCATAGGAGCCGATTCCTTTTTAGTTACTATAATTAAACCACTCAAAATTTAATCTGGATCTTAATTTAACACCTTCACTGTTTCTTGATTAACTGCATGTAATTTCTGTGTGTTTCTTCCACTCTTCTCTCCCTCCACATCTCCATCACCCAATCTCCTGGGACACCCCCCTCTACCCCAACTCCTTATACTGAATTTCACAGAACACCATTCTGCCTTGCCAAGACCAGCATTTTGCAGGAGACCAGAGTTATAATTGCCCGTATTCCACTACACCGTCAGAAACTAGTGTTGACGTTTATACGGAGACTTTCTGGGCTGCTGGTCTCCTGGACAACAGTGAGCCCCAACAAGCACCACAGGCACAGGGTATGTTCTGCTCTTCTGCTTTAGTGGTAGACCTGGAGCCCCTTTCAAGCAATGTGGCTGCAAAGCATCATGGTCTGGGACTCTGGAAAAAGGGATGTTATAAAAAATTTAAGTTAGTCCAAAGAGTCTTGAATTTTACAACCTTAACTTCTGCTATTTTGTACTTGCCAAATAGTGAAAATGGGATTCTTCCTCTTTCTTGCTGGACAACACGTGTTTCTCCCTCTACTATATAGTACTTGGAGATTCCCAACTCACTGAAAGAACCTTTCTGGGTCATATTTTATAAACAACATCCTAGTAGAATGTTTTTGGAGTCAAGATACTAGTTACAACATTCCTTTTTAAATTCAGGAAAGTTTCCCAAGTATGATAAAGAAACAAGAATGAATAACTTCATCTTTTATTTGATAGAGGAGATTCTATACACAATGCCTTGTAAGTAGAAACAATTATTCTCTTACACACACACACGCACACACACACACACACACGAACACACACACACAAACACTCACATAAGATTTCAAAGTGGGAGGGAAGTATAACATTGATGGAAAATTATGAATGGTATTAATCTTGACTTGAAGGTTAGTGAACATTTTTATAAAATTAAATGAATTTCTGTATAAATAGTCAAGTTTCTCTAAAAAGTTTCAGATATCTTAGAATTAAATACCTATACTATTGTTTGCCATATGCTCCTTTGGTGGACACAGGGGTTAAGGAAAGGCCCACAAAAAATGAAAACCTAAAAATGTTGAAGCACACTTACATATCATGGATAAAGTTGTTCAGTTTTACTTTTTCACTATAAGCAACAGCAAAGACAAAATGCCCAAAATCTGAACCCAAACTGTTTACAAAATTGGATTCCTGTTTTCTTACTCACTACACTATTTTAATAAAAAATACTTAAGTAACAGCTGTTTAAGTAGAAAAGGGAAAGAGTCAGAATGGTATTAATGAGAGGGAATAAAGTAAAAAACCAATTAAGCATGCTCAAATGCTTTTGATTAACTGGCATAGCTTCCTGTAAAATATGAAAAAAAAATCTTTGTAAAAGCATAAAAAATATACAGATGAAAACAGTTGAAACAGAGAAGGTAGAATTTTGCAATTTTGTATCATGGTCTTCAGAGAAACAAGGTGCAAATTATTTAAAAGTAGAAATTGCTACTAAATCAAATTCTGAATTCTATGCATTAGATTTAACAGGTAGGCAGACAGAAAAGGAAATAATAGCATCAAAAAATGTTATTAGATTATCAAGCCAAACCCTATATTATTAATGTTGAAGCTTAGAAAAATAAAATAAAAATTATAAAAAGATAGTGGGATTGCAATATTATGCCTAGTGGAAGGGAAAGGTTAATAAACATTTGAATGAATTAATGATGCAGCTGAGAGAGTCTTTATTAATTTAACCAACAAGAATATACAAACAAAGGGAAGAATGTGACCACTTAGTTCCAAAAAGAAAAAAAAATCCCACCTCTTTAACCCCTTTGGCATAGGTTGTATAAATATTTGTCTGTCACAGCTTACTTCCTTCTTCTGAAAGCTTTAAATATTTTGTTCTAGTGTGAGGAAGCAACAGCTATTTTTAGAAAGGTAATTGAACCTATTGCACTTTGGGAATGGTTTGGTGAGTTCATTGCACATAAGTCAAAAGTCTGTTTTCTATAGTACCCATTTTGTATTTTCTCATAGATTCATCTTCTAATTCGAGTTTTCCTATTCTGGACTCATGTTCCTGGGAAGAAGCTCAGCTTTCCTCACAGCTCTACAGAAATACACAGGTATGTGTGGATAGTCAGAACATTGAGACTGGCCATGCATCCTGCAGTCCATTCTCCATTTGCATCCTCCCTTAAGTTCATGCTGCTCCTTTTTCCTTTTAAAATTCACATTAACTCACTTTAGAACTAAAATGAGCATGTGTCGAGAGAGAGAGAGAGAGAGAGAGAGAGAGAGAGAGAGGAGTTAGATGAACAATCTCTCCCTCCGCCTTCTTTATTTTCCTCTCTCTCTCTCTCTCTCTCTCTTTCTCCCCCCCCCCCCCCATACACACACACTCATATACATAAATAACACTTGAGGAAGACATGAAGTCAGGCTCTGACTATATCACATTTTAGCTGTGTGACCTATCACGTCCACCTTTTCCTCATCCATGAAATTGGAATATTTATGCGGCATATCTCAGAGGGCTAATGGAAAGACCAAATGGAATCATGTAAGTATTTTAAAATGATAAACATGGATAATTGCCTGGAGAATTAATGATGATAACAAAGGTGTTTTTTTTTCAGATATTGTTGTTTCATTTTCCATATTTTCTTCTTATTTGTTCCCCAAAAGTAATATGATCTACTTAACAAACAGGCAGATCAATCTGAATGTGGCACAAGTCAACCATCTTTTCTTTCTTTCTTTCTTTCTTTTAATGTGCAAGGAAGGAGTCCAGGTAAACCTTTCTAAACACTTTTTTCTATATTTAAACAGTTGAATGCTGCTCATTTTCCTTTACACCTACCTGACTCCCTTGTGGTTAAAATTTTAAAAGTCATATAATACCCTCAAATACTTTGTAATGAATGAAAAATTCAGAGCACAAAACTGAACAATCAGGTGGTAGGGGGTTGTTGATTTCAGTCTTGGAGGACGAGAACTCCCTGAAATTTTGTTCATAAAACAAACAGAAGAATAATCAAGTTTAAGAAGGCTGAGGCACAGTGGCATTATTATAATGTTACAAAGTCAATACAGTGGAGCAACCTTCACCATTGTCTGCTTTTTGCAGCTCCAAGATACTCTGGTTCAGAAGGAAGAAGAACTTTCTAGGCTACATGAAGAGAATAATCATCTCGGACAATACCTGAATTCTGCTTTGGTTAAATGTCTTGAAGAAAAGGCCAAGGTGTGTAATAATCTCTTTTATAAGGTCAGGGCAGTGATTTAAGAAAGGAAACCATTAATGTAAAATTTCTTAATTAAAAGCAAGAAGTGTACTCAACAACAGTTCGTGGGATATGTGAGTAGAATGGATAACATTTCTTAAGGAAGTACATGACTTTCACTAGAACTTTTATGTATCATTTATTAGAAGTATCTAGATTGCAGATTCTATCCAGACATTATTACAAAAGGAGTTTCTTATATATCAAAAGCTAGGGATTGCTGAGGAAACAGGTTGATCAAAAGGAGAGTTAGGTGGAAATCAGAAATTTAAAAACTCAGTTGTTTTAATTATCTTCTTAATGTAGAAATTAAAGATTTAAAAACTCAGTTGTTTTAATTATCTTCTGGCTTTAGGAAAATCATTCTCAATTAGAAATTTGGTTACCTGTAGCTACAAAAACTAAAAATCTGTGAAAACTCTCTCTCAATCTAAGATGCTGTGATGATAACTGGAGCCTAGTATCTTGAGCAGCAATTCAGTATATACAGTTACATTATTTTTTATTCACATTTTTCTTACACTTTTAAATGAGCTATTTCTAACTCAAAGATAGCTTGCCTATAGTCTCTTTGTGTTCTTTTTTCTTTAGTTTTGTGTTTTTCCTAGTATGTGTTTGCTTCTATGACCAATTTTTACTTTACTCTTAGAGAAACTATTATTTGATATTATGTAATCTAAATTGATTATGTGTCTGCTGCTTTTACTGAATCTAACAGTTCAGAGAAGAAAAGATACTAGATTTGACTACTTTACTGTATAGTAAGCTTTCATAAATAAAGGGCTAGCCTTGGTTTCTAACTCTAGCCACCATTCCTTGAAAAAGACATTATTAAATTATTAAATGACATTAATTAGCTTTACCTTTCTTGACCTCAGTTCTCCAAGATTTAAAATAACAACTTTTTTCAAGGGATTGCTTTGAAAGTTAATGAAATAGCATAAGGAATGTTGTATAGTGTTTAAACAAGAGTTCTGTCTATATTCAGATAACTTAGGTTTAATTCTAGGCTAAGGGATTCTTAGCAAGTCACAAATATGTCTGTGCCTTAGTTTCCTCATTAATGGAGATTTTAACAGTATCTATATCCAAAGAAATATTGCATGTGATGAACTATTCATAAATTATATCAAATGATAATTTGTTTACTTTATCAGTGATAATTCAATAAACAATTGCTTTTATTGTCATCATTGTAAAAATTATTACTTCCCTGATTTGAAATCTTCAAGACATGATCTGCTTTTTTCAAGTTTCAACTGAGAGTAAGAAATGAATTCAGGTTCCTAAGAAGTAAGATGTTATCATGGATTTTACTTTAGTAACAGACACTAATCTAATCCATTTTACTTGTATGTGAAAAAAATATTAGAAATTTAACCTATTTTTCTAAAGAATGAGGGTAACTAGTAGATACTTAAAGGAAGTATAGTTTTCAAATTTCACTTCTTCAGAGATTGTTGTCATCAGATGAGTTCTCCAAAGTGTGTGGAAAATTCAGAAAGGGGAAGAGGAAACACAAAGAGCAGGGATACTCTGCTGCTGAGATCCCCCATCCTAAAAATGTCAAGAGAAACCTCTCTAGTGAGTTTGCTAACTGTGAAAAACCACCTGGGCCCCTTGTTGATCCCTGGGTGCTTCAAACACTTGGATTGAAAGACCTCAACACCATTGATGACACCTCATCAGCTAACTACAGTGCCCTCTCCTCTCATCCCAGAAGAGTGACTAGCACATACTCCCATTTTCCGAGTGATGCCATTGATTATGAAAATGTCCCCAGAGAGGATGTGCCAATCAACTATGGAGGTGAAAGAACAACCCCCTTGCTCAGCACTGCCAGCCATGGGGAAGACTTCCACTACTTTTCTCAACTTTCAAATCCCCCAATAGAGGTGCAAACACTTCCTTATCATCCAGCTGATGTGTCACCCAGCAAGACAGAGATGACATTTTACACATCCCTGAGTCCTCACTGTAATGTCAAAACTCATTCTTTCCACCAGGGACAAGCCTTTGTGTGTAGAGATGAAGAAGGAGGCTGGAAGTTTACCTGGATCCCTAAACAGCCTTAATGACTCCTCTTGTATCATAGAGCACTGCCAGGAACTCTGTTTACAAAGATCTCTCTTGCACTTGAACCTGACTATGTGGAGCATAGAAGCTATTGCCCAGACAATCTTTAGCCACTTTAAATGTTACTCTCAACTACCACTTAAATTTGTAGGGAATAGCTTCCAAGAATCCATATGAGAGGCATATGCTCTTCTTCTACCTGAACTTGACTAGTTTGCACATCAAGGTCTGCTATCAACTTCTCTTTGCCCTGTACTTGAAAAGGTGTTTTCCAATCTTTTGTGGATTTCTTCAAGACCTAGATATACTTTGCTTATCATGATCTGTTTAACACCTTTTGTTCTCTTATCAAGTAGTTTAAATATGTATGGTCTTTATTTCTCTCCCTCTTCTATATTTCTTTATTTCTGAAAATTGCCTTTAGAATGAGCCCTATTTTTGTTTCAAGTACTTCCTCCCGGTTGTTTAAATTGCTAGAGGTAGGGTAAAATCAAGTGTCTGCCCATCACCACTGCTGAAGAAGTATTGTGGATATAAGTAACAGTATGTCCAGGGCAGCTCAAAGAGTCAAGTGTTGCAGGGTGGCTGTAGCAAAACATCTCTAAGACAGCTGCGACTCCACTGATAAGCAATACCACTGAAAAATGACAAAAGTTAAAAAGAATTATTACTTCAGAATGTCCCAATACCTGCTTCCATTGGCATCTGGCCATTGTTTCTTTAACTGACATGGCTCAAAAATGATATTTTTGAGGAACTGTTACACAACAAATCATCATCTTAAACTGCACAGATGCTGGCAAACTGATCACTAGCCCAGCTCTGACAATGTCACACTTATTCCTTCTGTCAGTCATGTATTCATGCAATTCACCTAAAATATCTACAGAATACCTCATGCTCACTTTGTAACAGGCATTGTAATTCGGGATGGTGATAAAATGTGAGCAGTTTGGGCCCTGTGCCCACATTCATGAGACCTAGAGCCATTCATCTGCTGTCATCCCTGAGAAAGCTATTTCCCTTGTATGAAAATTCAATTTTCCCAGCTGTGGAATACAGGACTTGATTAGATAACTTCTAACATTCTATGAATGAAGGATGGATCCCATCAGCTTTATTTTTATTTGGTCATTCAAGGCCGTTTTTCCCTTAGATAGGTACTGCATATGCTAGGTAGGGTGAACTTTATCTGCAATGGAAAAAATAGAAAAATAAATATGAGACATTTGTAATGAGCATTAGAAATCATTTCTCTGATCACAGGATTCTTTTTTCCAGTATAAGCCCACTTTGCAGGTTGATTCAGTCTGTGTGAGAGTAACCTGTACCTAAAAAAAGATATATTTTAATTTGCAAGTAAATGTGAATAGATTGAATGCAAGCATGATATCAAAGATCTCTTCTTCCCTAAATTTTTTAAGAATATTTTTGGTGCTCTTAACTGTTTCCTTCCTTTCCATCCTTCAAGCTCCCTATTGTTCCCAGAATAAATTATGCATCAATGTCGGGCACCTGTGCTTTTTTGGCAACATGATTAAATTCACCAGGTTGAAAGCCATCTCCATCTATCTCTTTCTATTCTCCTCTCAATACTTCACTTTGCACAATCAACTTCTTTGTTTGTGATATTTGGAATTCTTTGTAACCAAGACATTTCTTTTGTGTTTGATCATTGCTTTATTTATGTTGTGTGAGCAAATATCTATTTTATAAAGCTTTGTTACTCATAGTTTTCTTTATAATTCATGAAGGGGAATACAAATTAGTAATTAATATTATTCTCGGTAGTATTTTAAAACTAAGGAAGAGATAGAATACGTTCTACACCCCCCATACCCCCCCAAACACAAAAAGTACCTTTTACATTCTGGTATCTATGCCTCTTGTGGGTGAAATTTTTCTCTAGAATAACAAATTTAATTAGAATTGATTATACTTTACTACACAAGGAGTTGAGTAAGCAATAGAACTATTTAAAAACTCTTATAATCAAGCTGTAAAACAAAATTTACCAGTTAACACATATTTATTTTGCAATATCCATGTGCCATGTTATATGTTAATTACCATGAGGAAACACCCAGGCTTCTCACAGTGCATTTGGTGCATAAAAATGTCACCAAAAACATCAAAGCTTTTGAAAGCTTTTAAATGAAACTTGGTTTCAGCCTGGTTAAAGAAACTATAGGACATTTATGTGGCAAATTATGATATATTCTTCTAACTCATATCATGAATGATAGTATGGAAGAAAATTACCACATATGTTTGCAATTATATTTACAAACATTTGATATTCATTTGAATAATGTATACAAAATTATTTTGTTAATGTTTGAGAAATTGGAAATTTGTTTCACTTAAGTATATGTTCTAACTTTTATAGTTTTATCATGCATTTCCAGTAAACCAGTTAATATTTTATTAAGATAAAGTGGGAAATGAAACTAAATACCTGATGATGAATAATTTTATATTGTGCATAACATTTTTAATAATGGACTTTTTTCTCCTGGATTTTTGTGACCACAATTTTTGAATCTCTTTTGTATGATATATGATATGGCCAGATTAATATCCTCAGAATTTAATGGTTCCTTCTCTCCTCTAGGATACATTAATGATTTTTCCCATGTTAGGTGGCCTGAAGAGTCAAATGCCTTAGGAGTACAGCACTCTCTTACTTAATCTCACATAAAAATTAGAATTCAATTTTTTAAAATTTGATGACACTTCCAATGTCTTCTGATACTCTGAAAACAATCCTGTGTCTTACTAGTATTTGGAAAATATGGACAATTGGAAAGTCTCAATTCTATAGGTGACGTTTAATAAGTAGGGTTACTTCAAATTGCAGTGATGTTAAACTATAATTTTGAAAAGATTAAAGAATGTGAATAAATAAAAAGACTTTAATGTACTTGATGTAATTGAAGAAAGCAGAATATGTTTTTAAATATGACAAATGGATTCAACAATAAATCGAAGTACCACAGGTATAGCAGAAAATATAGTTAATACATTTACTGAAAACTACTTTTATTTTGTACTAGGGATTGAATCCAGGCATGCTTGTCCACTAAGCCACATCCTTTGCCTTTTTAAAATATTTTGTTTAGAGACAGGATCATACTGAGTTGCTTAGGGACTGGCTAATTTGCTGATGCTGGCTTTAAACTGCCTCAGCCTCGGGTGCCTCTGGAATTACAAGTATGCACCTGGCACTTGGCCATCCACTAATAACTTTTTAAATGTATAATTTTTTGCCTGTAAAGTTCAGGTATACAATTAGATATTTGTTTCAGGTTTACCAAAAGATTCACATATGGTTAAATAGTAAATGCCTAATTTTAATTTTTTTAAATAAAACCACATATATTTGGTTTTCATGTTAGAAGTTTATGGTATGATTATATTTCTTAACAATCTTTTCATATTTTTATCTACCTTTTTGTTACATTAACATAGACATTCAATTTTAATCCTTATATTGGATATTCTGCAAATGTAAAATATAATTCAACACTTAATAATAAGCACTTAGATTATATGTTTCTTTTTAATTTGAACTTTTTTTAAATTATGGAAGTCAATTTTGTAATGAACTTATGACTAATAAATAAATGACAAGTCATTTAATTTTATGTTCAGCTCTTAATTTGAAAACATGTTTTCAGTGAATGGAGCAATGAACTAAGAAAAAGGTTTTGTTTCTCCTATAAATCCTATGTCATAAAAATATGTATTTCAATTTACAAACGTGTTAGATAGTAGTATGATTAATAACTGAGGCAATTATTCAATAGATATAGCTGGTGTCAAGCTCTGCTGATGATATAAAGATGATGTTATATAAGAAGGATGTATGTATTAAGACTAAATTATGTATAAATGAGAGAAACATAACTTCAACATGATTGATTAAAGCAAGGGTGTAATAGGCTCTCATAATGAAAACGTCCACAATGCAAGTATGGAAATATGGTTGATTCTATATAATCAAAGTGTATTGTCAAGAATCTGGTTTGGGATTTCAAGGGAGGTGGTATTTGGGGATGGATTCTTGAATGGTGATAAAAATAAAAGCACACAAAAGGAATAAAGAAACCAGCTCTGTGAGTTTGAAAAAGAAGCTACATCTCATAAAATATTTTCTATTTTTGGACATTATCCTTATTTTTCCAATTTATAATCCTGTTAAATGAGTAAAACTTGAGGTAAAGGTTCCAGACTGGTCTCACTTATGCCATGGATAGTTGTAAACATATTGAGTTATCTGCATGTGAGAATTGTGAGCAGGATTTCCATAAGGCCATTATATAGACTATGTAACAGTAAAGGGGAGAAAATGGTTTGGGATTTGCATATCAGGCCATTAACCCTTTCTATTAGGACATTCTTTTGGTATCATTGATGGATAACACTGATTTTATTTAGTGTTTTTTTTTTTTAAACAGGGCTGTTTGATTTTTTTTTCCTAGAGAATAGTGCTTAAACCTTGCTTGCTCTAAATAACTTTTGAATATGAATGTAGTCAATACAGATTATTAAACACAGATCATCAGGATGAATTAGATGGTGTGAATTTCATTTGAAAGATAAAAAACCTGCTCTGAAGTGTTGTGCAGGTAATAAATAATAAATAGGCGAAGCATAAGAAAAGCTCTGGCATTGACTTTAGATCTAATGCTCTTTCTACTATAAGACATAATAATCATTTTGGGGACCAATAAACATACTTATAGGCCACTGGCTATTACAGTGTATTACAGGCTTCAGATATAGAGGCCCTGCAAGTATAGAGGGGTTCTTAAATCTTTATTTTACTGTCACTGGAGGTCTATTTCATAGCTTAAAAATTCCATCATTGCTAACAGACATTGTTCACAAGAGACCTAATTCACCTTCCATCATTTTGAAATAAAATAGTGTGTAATTTGAAGCCCATTTCAAAAATTGGGATGACTAAGAGTGGGGTGGCAAAGCATGAAAAGGC